ACAACACCACACATACAGCCGAAGCCGTATTGTATGAGATGTTCAAATACGCGGACACTAATAAACTGAACATACAGTGCGACCTATACTGTGTCGGGGCGGCTGTCAGGAGCCGGTGTGCGACTCACCCGGTTATAAGGGCAGAGATTTGGCTCTCGATGGGTATTCACAACTGTCAGCCTCCACCTCGATGTTTGTTTTTGAGCCAACAGATGATTCACGTGAGTAAAACTCAATTTAATTTATAACATAAAATTTATTTAACTAGGGCCAAATTTTTGATGTAAACTTATTGACAAACCTTTTTGTTTAGTTACCCACGAAAATCTGTCCGAGTGTACTGAATGGAGATTCCCATGGTTAATTACCCTGTGCATAGTGTTGGCCGTGTTATTGCTATTAATGTTATTATTAAATATGTTTATGTGCTCATCGCTCAGCTGCCGGTGTATTAAAACTGAGGTAAGGTTTCAATAAATCTAAATTTAAAAATTAATTAATAAACATTTTATAAATACATATAATATACATTATATTTTAGCTCTTATTCTTTAGTATAATAGAAATCTAGTTAGCTCATATAAATATTATTTTAACAAATTTACATTAACATTAGAGTTTAAATGACTATTGTACACAAAATAGTGTACTAAAATTAAATAGTTTTAAATATTAATTTAGGTTTTGACTGCATTAATGATATTATTAAATGTGTTTATTTGCTCAGATCGCGGTACATTAAACTGAAGTAAAATATTTGAATATAATTCATTTTAATTTAACTAGTGAATTAAAAGTTCTTAAATATACCAATATTACTAAAATTACACTTGTGAACATATTTTACTATAAGTTTATATTAACGTTACAGTTATTACACTTGAGTTTAATTACATTGTTTTAAACATTATTCATTTCAAATGTAATTATTTTATTTCACCTAGATCGTTGAACAGGAACCGGATAAAACAGTTGACGACTACGACCCATACCGGGCCGACTGGACGGCCCCGAACTCCCGGTACGGGTCATGCAATTCATTGAACAAAGGCTATCCCGAGGGGACACTCAAGTCAAACAAATCACAGCCAAAGTCCTATCACTTGGGCTACGATAACGATGACTACGCGCCCGACCAACACAACCGGTCATACTCTACACTACAAACTCGTTCG